TTCAAGTATGACTAAAGGCAACACTTTTTTTTTAGTTTTGAATACAGCAGAGATGGATTAGGACACGTGTCAGGTATTTTTATTGCTACCTCTGCCCCTTTTAGGGAGATTCACCTTCTCTATTTGTCCTGTTTACTGTTGCCATCAAAAGTTAAAGTAAAAGGAAAAACCTAATTTTGAGTTGTCCCCCAAAAAATAATAGAGGGGAAATCTTCCATTTGGGCATTAGTTCTGGTGACCTGGGGGGCCCCAATGGATTCCCTTAATTAGCAGGGATTTCATCTTACGTCCTGTTTCAGCTATAGGAAAGAAAGTCAAGGTAAATATTCCCAGTGGGACACAGACAGGGGTTATAATCCTCAGTTACTCTATCCAAAATGAAAAAAAAAAAGGTTTTGCCTATAGTTCTATATTAACATAAACAATTAAAGTGGTTCTAAAGTCTCAATGTTTTTTACCTTCATGCATCCCCATCAGCCCCCCCTAATACTCACATAAGCCCCCTCTCGATCCAGTAATGTGCACTGGAGTCTCAGGACTCCCTTTTCTCATTGGCTGAGACAGAAGCGGGAGCCATTGTCTCCCACTGCTGTCAATTACAGCCAGTGAGCCAAAGAGAAGATAGAGGGGTGGGGCCAAGCTGTGGCTCCGTGTGTGAATGGACACACAGAGCAGCAGGTGCCCCCAAAGCGAGCTGCTTGCTGTGGGGGCACTCAACAGGAGGGAGGGGCCAAAAGAACCTGTAGGGCACCCAAGAAGAGGAGTAGCTGGGCAGCAGTGTGCAAAACCACGCACAAAACAGGTAAGTATACTCGTTTGTTATTTTTTCCTTACAAAAAATAAGCCTTTAGAATCACTTTAACATAGTAGTGTGAAACAGCACAACTATACAATTTTACAATACAATTGTTATAATGTTATTATTGGCAACATTTCAATATAAATACAAATAAAGCAAAATAATAATTGCACAATTTATATTGTCAATAAAAGTACTACATGCAAACATCCACGCTTTTCAAATATGTTTTTACTTGCCAAGCCTCTAAGTCAGGGCTGTGCAGTTTGGCAGCTCATCGTGTTTTAATTTTTCCACTAACTAGAATTATTGCATAATATATATTTTTTAAAATATTCAATATATTTTTTGATCTATATAACCCATTAAGTTAAAGATAATAAAACTTACTAGAAATCATGTTATGTATTTTATATGTATTTTGTCATATTTTTTGTGTGTGTTGAGTAGCAACTTGAAAATATTGAAGAGAAAGTAACAAAACCTGTGTCTGTTGTTATAAGTGTAAAAGTTTCCATTTTTGTTCCTTTGTTATGCTATTGTAAAAAAAAAAATATACATTAATTAAAAAAATGCACCAAAAAATTAGAAAAAGGGCCAAGAATATACAAAAAGAAATCTAACATATATATATATATATATATATATATATATTTTTGGTTTAATATTTTGTTGAGAATCCTTTACTTGCAATGACTGCCTGAAGTCTGGAACCCATGGACATTACCAAAGACTGAGTTTCCTCCTTTCTGATGCTTTGCCAGGCTCTAACTGTAGCTGTCTTCAGTTGTTCTTAGTTTGCGGGTCTTCTGCCTTTAGTTTTGCCTTCAGCAAGTAAAATGCATGCTCAGTTGGGTTGAGATCAGGTGATTGACTCAACCTTTGCAGAATATTCCACTTCTTTTCCTTCAAAAGCTCCTTGGTTGCTTTTGCAGTATGTTTTGGATCATTGTCCATCTGTACTGTGAAGCGCTATCCAATCAACTTTTGCTGCATTTGGCTGAATCTGGGCTGACAGTATATCTCTAAACACTGTAGAATTCACCCGGCTGCTTCTGTCTTCTTTCACATCATCAATAAACACCAATGACCTAGTGCCAGTGGAAGCCATGCATGCCCATGCCATCATACTGCCTCCACCATGATTTACAGATGATGGTGTGTGCTTGGATCATGAGCTGTTCCAAGCCTTCTCTACATGTTTTTCTTCCCTTGATTCTGGAACAGATTAATCTTAGTTTCATCCGTCCAAAGAATGCTTTTCCAGAACTGGTCTGGCTTTTTTAGATTTTTTTTTGGCCAAGTCTAATCTGGCTTTTCTATTCTTCAGGTTTATGAATGGTTTGCACCTTGTGGTGAACCCTCTGTATTTGCTCTTGTGAGGTTTTCTCTTGATTGTAGACTTTGATAATGATACGCCCACCTCATGGAGAGTGTCCTTCACTTGTCTGGATGTTGTGAATGGGTTTTTCTTTTACCATAGAGAGGATCCTGCGATCATCCACCACTGTTGTCTTCCATGGACGTCCATGCCTTTTTATGTTGCTGAACTCACCAGTGTGTTCTTCTTTCCTCAGAATGTACCAAACTGTTGATTTGGCCACTACTAATGTTGCTGCTATCTCTCTGATGGATTTGTTTTGTTTTTGAAGCCTTACAATGGCCTGTTTCACTTGAATGGACAATGTACGCATGATGTAGAATCACAGCAATAGATTCCAAATGCAATACCACACTTAGAATCAACTCCAGACCTTTTACCTGCTTAATTGATAAAGAAATAATGAAGGAGTAGCCCACACCTGGCCATGAAACAGCTTTTGATTCAATTGTCCAATTACTTTTGGTCCCTTGAAAAAGGGAGGATGACAATTCTTAAGAGCTATCCTTCCTGAACCCTTCCTCCAATTTAGATGTACATACCCTTAAATTAAACCTGAGTGTGCGCACTTTCAGCCCATATCCATTATATAACTATAGCCTGAGTATGTTTTGGTAAATACCTGAAAAAAAAATTAAAAATTGTGCCTGTGTCTAAATATATATGGACCTAACTGCATATATGTATATATATACACACAGTATGTATAATCCTACAGTGAAGTCTTTAAAATTGAAGGTGCTGTTTTTACAACTTTATTACATCTATTGTGTAAAACTCCTCAACTAACAATGATCTGCTCCCAAAAGCTCTTAAGAACAATCACCTAAAACTAACCATCCTACCTAAGTCACTACTTGGGGGGGGGGGGGGGTCAACAGAATAACCACAGAGTATAGGTGGAGACACAGGAGATCAACATACCTAGAAGTGTTGGTTTTTGAAGGGACTTCCGCAGAGGATTTTGTTTTAGTATAGTGGTGTTCAGTAGAGTGGGCACGAGAGGTCAGTATTCACTTTCCCATTGCAGGTTCTTTATAACAGCAGCTTTACTTAAAGAATTAGGACTAAAGCTGGGCACATGCTATAAGTTGTTTTTTATTTTTATCAACCTAGTTGGCTGAACACAGTAAAAATGAGAGATCGCAATACTAACACAAGCGATGTTAGTGGAGCGATCTCTCCCCTCTGCTATTGTATTCTGACAGGATGACTGTCCCCCTGCCAGAACACATTGATCAGCACTTGCAACCATTGGCTGCCAGCACTGGTCTGATGCTGATCAGACACTGGTTTATTAGCATGCCCATTCGACAGAAGCCAGTTGTAAGACCATCCTCTCACAGTCATACAGACTGGCTGAAAGTCGGCCAGTTCCTGCTGAAGTGACCTTTTAAGACAATTTTTTTGCCTTTGTGTACTCAGCTTAACTTGCAGTCAGATAAGGTTTCCAGAACTAGTGATAGTGAAGAACTCCAAAATAGGTATGAATTACCATGCACTGACTGTTGAAACAATGTAAAGTATTTTTATGATGCTATGTAAACAGGCTTTAAACTCATTCTTTGAGGTCTTGGATGAACTGAATTTTACTAATGTACCTTTGTCAATGTTTAAATATGGAAACTGATGTGAATCTATAATGTATATGTAAAGTGCTTTGTATACAAACACCTGTAACAAATAAATACATAAGTAAACTGCTTAATGTTTTTTCCTCTTATTTACTTTTGCATTGTTTTAGCTTTTCATGAGTTTTGGACAGAGTGAATGTTGGTAAATAAGGTGGATCTATGTACAAGGGAATTGCTATAACATGATTGGATATTCAAAGTGATCACCGTTTCATCTTATTTACTACATTAACGTTATCGTGAACATTCACTTTAACCCCTTGGCACCCCTTGGCCTCCCAGGCCCTTTAAGGGGTTTGTGACACTGGGAGGTGGGGCGGAGTTTAGGGTCATGTGGCCGCTCTGATGGGTTGTCACAGTGGTCACATGATTGGAAAGTTCCTGATCACAAGTAGCATTTCCGTGAAACACCGGTAAATGTGCCGGGAGTGCACAGGGTGTGCACTCTTAACACATGTATGGTTTTTTTGGGTACGCAAATATGCGGCCTCTCAGCATCAAGGCCCAGCCACTGAGAGACCGCATATTTGCATACGGTCAGCGGCAACAGGTTAAGTGAACAGACTCTATTTCTTTAATAAAAATTCTTCATAAAGCCTCTTTCACACTAGCAGTCCAGTCAAGTATGCCTATCAGTTTTTCAGGCGGACCTGATTGGACCCTCCATTCTCCTCTATGGAGCAGCGGATGTAAATAAACTTGTGTCTGTTTACACCCGTTTACATCCAATCCAATCCGATCTGCCAAAAACAAACGGAAAGGGATCAGTTTCCCTCCGTCTGGGAGGATCGGAACAGAGGGCAGTCAGGTGTAAACGAACAGCTGGCCCAATTACATCCAACCGCCAATATAGCAGAGGGGGCTGTTTCCGCTCTGCATAAGTGGAGATGGACTTGTACACCCCGCATGCTGAGCAAGCGGATTCCGTCCTGTGTGAAATGGTATTGGCTTGATTTATCTAAATATGTTTGATCTACAATTATATTATGTTTGTGTCAGGTGGTTGAGCTATAATGAATACTTCCTGCTGTATAAATGTGTAGATGTTTGAAAAAGAACTTGTGATAGTACTGAAATATATAGAATATATTACTGAACTGCAAAATAAGAATGTCATAGAATCCTACTTTTCACAAACATACCTAATATAGTTGTGTAATTTTTTTCTTATCTCTAATTACAATAGGCTGCAAACTGGGAGAAGCATCTGACTTTCTTGTGCGGCAGGGAACTCTCATTCAAGTACCATCAGGAGAAGTAGGCTGTTATAAAATATGTACTTGTGGACAAAGTGGAACTCTTGAAAACTGTATGGAACTGAATTGTATTGACCTACAGAAGTCGTGCATTGTTGGAGGACAGAGCAAAAGTATGTGTATGTACAGCCAATTGGCAAACGTTTGGCTAATGTGTGTGTATGTATATACACTGTGTGTGTATATATTGTGTGTATGTATGTATATATGTATATATATATATATATATATATATAAAATATACAGAGGTCTTGCTTTCACCTCTCTTGAGGTAGATATTGTCTACTGCAAGTACAATTTTCAGGCCATGTGGCTCTTTTTCTTCAGGCCAAAAATTAGTCCAATACAACAGCATAAGAGAACGTGAAAAAGATGGACACGATGTCATCACCAGTAATGTACTCTAAAGAGTAACAGAACTGCTAGTTGTTTACGGTACAGTAACAGAACATTGGGGGCAGTAAATGGTAACTGCAATTACTTAGTCGTACTGTACAGGATACAGGACTGTATTCATCGACCATGGATTACAGTATATGCAGACTTCCATCAGATGATTGGATACTGGCAAAAACACTTTTCAGGGCTGCCCCTAGAGTGTACTCACTTTGGCACATAGTTCAACATACTGTATTTAGTTAGCCAAAGGGTACTATACAGTTTCAGGGCCGTGGTCCATTTCTATGGTTCCTAGACCCTGAAGACTACGTCAGGGGTATGCCTACTGTGACAGGCAAAGCCTTGATCTCTAGTAGGCCCAGAATTGCAAATAAGGTAAGACAGAGTTTACCTTTATGTTACCACTGGTTCCTAGCTTTTAGTAACACAATCCACAATGTGTGGCCTACTATGTGGATTTATAAGCAGAGGATTTGCGAGCTAGTTACTATATTGAAGTACCAAATGCCATTTTGTTTCCAAAGTTTCTTGGTGTGAGTAATTTAAATTTAGCATTTTTTTCTACTCCTGTTTAGACTCTGGACGGCAAGGTAACTGTGCAAACCTCCCAGTTGATGCATTATTTGGAACAATAGCAGTTGATGCCCTATTGCCATAGTGTGTTGATGCTCTACAGAATGCATTTCATCAACTCTCTAAAATGTCCCATATCTAAAAGCTTGGTTTGCTGAACCTGCTTATAAAAAGCATTTTCTATGCATGCCTTTTGATGGGGAATGCCTATTTGGGTACTCGTGCCCCATAAGAAAAGCCAAAGTCAGTCCATAGACAAGTCAAAATCCGAAAGTTCTGTTGAGTGAAAAACTAAAATAGCTTATACGATTGTGCCATCAATTGTTTTGTTTTTCTAATAAAAATCCATCATGTTGGGTCAGGCACTTTCAATTGCAGCAGGAAAATCATGTGTCACAGCTGGCACACTAATGATGCGAAAAAACGAATGATTCAAAATTTTCCTTTTTTGTTTGACAACCATTAGTCAAAAGTAAGGACTTTTTTGCTCTCAGCAGGTGTCAAACCAAGGCTTAAAACTTCTTTTTTTCTCAAGTCCTGGACTAAAGTCCACTAATTCTACCCATAGGCCCTCTTCACAATATAGGGGCACCTTCATTCCTCAGACTAGGTGGACATCTGTTGCAATTTGCAACAGTGTGGATCCAAGATGTCCTGAAAACCTCTGTGTCCACTCTGATTGTTGACCTGAGTTAATCAAGGCAAGCGCAATGTAAGGACACAGCAAATTCTATTGTGTTCCTGCTGGTGTGAATGAGCCCTAAAAGTAGTAGAAAAAAAAATATGTTTAAATTCAATTCAGTTATTAAAATAAATAAGCTGGCTAGCTAGTTAATAGATAAGTGCTGTAATAGGTCAGTTGGCTATGCAAGCAAGATGAGAGCAGGTTTCCCGACTGCCGCACACCTCACTCACTGACCATGTAGCAGACAGGTAAAAAGCTGCCTCAGCTCAGTCCATCAAGGCCACTCCCCTAACTCCCTAAACATGCAGTTTACTGGGGAGGAGCAAAAATATGAGGTCAGCTACCTAGATGTAACCTTGGTCGGGTCACCCCATAGTCAAGAAGTTATTGTGTGCACGCATATAGGAAGCTTACTTCCAGAAATTGACTTTTACATGCTCTAAGCTGCCATTCCTTGCATGTGATTAAGACCATCCCTAGGGGCCAGTGCATTAGAGCAAGATGCATTTGCTCTATACTGGCTGACATTGATAACGTAGCAGCCCTGATGGAATGTAGGTCAACAAGTCAGTCATAAAAGAGAACAAATCCATGCACAAGGAATCCTAAGAATGAGTCTTTTAGGGAAATGTTCATACAACAAATGGCAGAACAAGGGAAAGCAGGCTCATGACAATGACTCTTCCCCTCCCCACCCATATTTTCCACTCGCTACAGCCTGCAATTTCAAGATAAAAAACATATTATCTCCAGAACCTCATGGCAAGGGGTCATGGCCTTGATGGACTGGGCTGAGGCTACTTTTAATTGTCTACTAAATGGAAGGGTGAGATGTGTGGCAGTCAGGAAAGGTCTTCTCATTTTGCTTGCATGCTCTGGGTCTGGCCGAACCCATCCCCAGCCAGCACTCTCACTGTTTCAATGGCATCAACCCCTCAGGACTCCAACAACCTGTGCCAAGATTACCAAGCAATAACTCGGGCCACAGGTCAGTTGACTAGTTAGTTAACAGGAAAGTGTTATGGTTAAACAACTCACCTCTACAAAATCCGCTTCCATTCCCCTCCATCTTGCAGACCAGTTGACTGCTGAGGTCCAGGAGCTTGCCCATACTCAACTTAGCATTCAGACAGGAAAGTGAAACCACGAAAAAAAAAAAAAAAAAAAAAGCTATGATGTTCCAGGCATCCAAGTGATTTCTTGGGCAAGTAGATAGATGGCCGCACACACTGCAGAAAGCCTTCCACTGCTGGTAACACTGGAAAGTGTTATATCTTTTTTGCATTAAAATAACAAACATGTCATACTTACATGCACTGTGCAATGATATTGCACAGAATGGCCCCTTACCTCCTCTTCTGGGGCCCCCTGCTGGTGTTGTCTGCCCCCATGGCAAGGGGCTTGCTATGGAGGCACACGTTCAGGCGTGCTCCAGAGCTGGGCTGTGTGTGGCCTTAGACATACACTGCGCAACTCGGCTCTGAACCTCTACTCCCTCCTCCCAGGATTTGACTGAGAGCAGCAGAAGCCATTGGCTCCCACTGCTCTCAGCAAATCCTGTGAGAGTAGGGAGAGAAGACCTGGCACAGCGCTGGATCAATAGAGGGCTCAGGTAAGTATTAGGACCATTTTAATGTTTTAGCCTTTTATTTTTCAAATCAATAGTGAATTACAGCCGTTGAATGCAAAACAAAAAATATATTAATAAATATACACACTTTTTTATTGATTATACAGCACTTACATGCATTGAAACCTATGTATAGTAGAGATTCCTGTGTTCAAGATAATTAGTAGTAAATAATTTAGTGAAAGTATTTGACAAAGTATTAATTTGACAAAAAATTATTAATAAAACTAACTTTTTTTCATACTTCATTTGTTTCATACTTTTACTCATTTCTCTGCTTATTATAAAATGTATTTCTCTATTCCCAATTGAGGGACACCACTCTTAATATTCATAACCTGGGGTGCATTGCCATCTAACATTAAAGAGGCACTTGTAGGTCAGACAAATATAACATAACAGTTATAATGAAATAACCACAAATGTCTTTTCTGTGCTCACAGCATTATCAGTTTTATTCAACCCCCAAGTGACATTCAATCTTAGTACTTAGTACAGCATCCTTTTACAGTTATAACAGCTTTTAAACGTGAAGCATAGCTTGACACAAGTGTCTTGCAGCGATCTACGGGTATCTTCGCCATTCTTCATGGGCAAAGGCCTCCAGTTCAGTCACATTCTTAGGCTTGCGCACTGCAACTGCTTTCTTTAAGTCCCACCAGAGGTTCTCAATCGGATTTAAGTCTGGTGACTGCGATGGCCACTCCAAAATGTTCCAGCCTTTCCTCTGCAACCATGGTCTAGTGGACTTGGAGGTATGCTTGGGATCATTGTCCTGTTGAAAGGTCCAACGTCTCCCAAGCCTCAGGTGTGTGACGGACTGCATCACGTTTCCATCCAATATCTCCTGGTACTGAAGAGAATTCATGGTACCTTGCACACGCTGAAGCTTCCCTGTACCTGCAGAAGCAAAACAGCCCCAAAGCATGATTGACCCTCCACCATGCTTCACAGTAGGCAAGGTGTTCTTTTCATCAAAGGCCTTGTTCTTCCTCCTCCAAACATAGCGTTGATCCATGGGCCCAAACAGTTCTAATTTTTGTTTCATCAGTCCACAGAACACTATCCCACAACTTTTGTGGTTTGTCCACATGGCTTTTGGCATACTCTTCTTATTCTTTGGAGACAGCAAGGGGGTACGCCTGGGAGTTCTGGCACGGAGGCCTTCATTACGCAGTGTGCGTCTTATTGTCTGGGCTGAAACTTCTGTACCCACATCTGACAAATCTTTTCTCAGTTCCTCAGCAGTCACACGGGGACTTCTCTCCACTCTACGCTTCAGGTAGCGCACAGCAGTCGAAGTCAGCATCTTCTTTCTGCCACGACCAGGTAGCGTTTCAACAGTGCCCTTTGCCTTGAATTTGCGAATGATGCTTCCTAAGGTGTCTCTTGGTATGTTTAACATCTTTGCAATCTTCTTATAGCCATTGCCCTTCCTGTGAAGAGAAATCACCTCTTCTCTTGTCTTCCTGGACCATTCTCTTGCCTTCACCATGTTTGTAACCACACCAGTAAATGTCTAGAAGGAGCTGAGTATCACAGTCATTTTAAAGCTGCCTAATTGGTGCTTATTATGCTTGATTGCTGCTCGGTGACATCCACAGGTGTTTTCAATACCTGATGGAAAGCACCTGTATGAACCTCTGTTCTTCAGAGTGGTAGTCTTTAAGGGGTTGAATAATTGTGGCAATGAAGAAACCACATAAGAACCATTTACTACTGTATTACATAAACAATTGATGTCATTTTAGTTGCATTTGGGTAGTTACAACGTCCTTGTAGGATTTGATTCTGAATACAA